CATAGTGTGTGCTCACATAGCGTGTGCTCACATCGTGTGCTCGCATAGTGTGTGCTCACATAGCATGTGCTCGCATAGTGTGTGCTCACATTGTGTGCTCACATAGCGTGTGCTCGCCGTCGCCCTCCCTGCTTATAGACAGAGCTCCAGGGTTATTCGTAAGAAATACAGCAAAGCCAAGAAGGACCAGGGAGGGACCATCTGAGCCAATTAAGGATAGGCCGAGCTGGGCCAGGAACTCAGGACAAGGTGTGATAAATATCCATTCAGCGTGGCACCAGTTCCCTGGCAGCGCATGGCTGCGGCTTCCATGAGGCCGTGCAGGTCTGATGGGAGGAAGGCCACACCCTGCTGGAAAGTGCATGTTGTCTTCTTGGGACTGCAGTCTGGGGACCTGACAGGCGGCTTTGTCTAGATGAGCCCTTGAAAGACAAGCGGACCTGACGTGACTGGTTCTGCAGGGAAAGGAAGATTCTTCAAATGGCTGTTTCTATACCAGGCCTAGATACAGGCATTAAATCAGATCTCAGCGGAGATGCTTTTCTAAGAACCAGAGTTCAGGGACGTAATGGCTCTGTCGCTGGACTCCCATGTAGTCGACCACGGTTCAAGTCCCCGACCCGGTGGCTTAAACTCACATCTAGAGCATATGCATGCGTGCCCAAGATCCCGAGAGGAGAATGGAGGAGAAGGGATTGTGGCTTGGCCATCCCCCCGGGGAGTGATTTCTCACTTTCTGTCTCTCTGTCTCTCTCAGTCTGTCTGGCGAGCACACGCGCCCTATAGCAAAAACCTCTCCAAAAAACAAAATAAAAAAGAAAGAAAACCAGAGTTTATACAAGCCATGCACATCACTTGTGCTGTGTTAATCTACTGCCAGGCCAAAGCTAGAGAACCCCAGACTCAAACTTATCTCTTTGACCAGCAGTTTTCAGACCTTTCCAAAACAGCAGTTTCTGGTGATCAGAATCACTTGGGGAGCTTAGCTTGCTTGCTTGCTATTTTTTTTTCCCTAAATTTTGCTAGAGGGTGTGTGCACTAACCAGAGAGAGAGAGAGAGTACTGGAGAGAGAGAGTGAGAGAGAGAGTGAAAAAGCACCCCAAGGGGGGGATGGCCACACCACAGTCCCTTCTCCATTTCTCTTTTGGGGATTTTGGGTGCACACGCACATGCCCGGCATTCTTTTCCCAAAGCCACTGGGTCCAGGACTTCAACTGTGCTGGCCCCCAAAGCTGAGCTTTTTTTGGAGAGGTTTTTGCTATAGGGCGCATGCACTCGCCAGAAAGACAGAGAGACAGAAAGAGAGAAATCACCCCCCAAGAGGATGACCACGCCACAATCCCTTCTCCTCCATTCTCCTCTCAGGATCTTGGGCACACACACACATGTGCCCGGCGTGAGTTTAAGCCACCGGGTCTGGGCCTTGAACCGTGGCTGATTACATGGGAGTCCAGCAATATAGCCACTATGCCAACGCTGGTCCCGGGCTAAGCTTTCTTAAAGCACTTTGCAAGGATTTGTGCAGTGACTGGAGAGCTGCCTGCTCTGCTCCAAATCCTGCCCAGTGCAGACGTCCCAGGGAGGATGCAGGGACGGTGGCCCCATGGGGCTCCAGATGGCGTGGCCTTACTCAGAGTTCTGTTCCAGGCCTTTCCCAGGTATGAGGAGTTCATGGGTCGCTTGGCCTTAGCCGTCGACCCTCTGCTGGATGCAGCCCCTGTGGACATGGCGGCCTTCCAGCATGGCTCCTTGCGACAAAAGTTCCGGTCGCTCTCCACCTTGAAGCCCCTGCTGAAGGCAGGTGAGTCCGAAGTGCAGGTGCTGGGCCCAATGAGTGCGTGTCACTGAGAAGAGCCGTTGTCTCAGCACCGGGACGCAGGCCTGCCCGCCCATGCCCCTTCCACCTGCGATCAGCGAACAGGCTGTGATCAGCCTCGGGCGCTGGAGCACTCACCGAGAAGGCACCTCACCGGGCACGCCCCACGTGGAACCGAGACAACAGCCCGTGCACAAGTTTATTTAGAAGAGTGATCCCAGGGCACAAAGCGGGGAGAGGAGGCGTGCAACTGGGCAGAGGGAGTGCCAGTACCAGGAGTGTCGCCGTGCTGGCCACCGCTCTGGGCGACGAGGTGCCAACCCTGGCGGGCCCCCTGTAACCCTATGACGTACTCAAGGATGGTTTCTGGGAGAAGGAAAGGAAAGCATTTATCCTCCGGTTCTGTCCCCCATTGGTCAAGGGCTGCCCCATGGGGTGTTAACTCCCACACTCTGGGTACCATGGAGCTGCCCGTGAGGGTCTTAACATGGTGCCAGAGAAGCCCCAGGGAAGAAATGAGGAGGCACATTCGTCAGGTTGAAGTGCGATACTGTCGCAGCTGTCCTGTACGAAGCTGATCGAAGCCTGCGTGAAGCACAGCCATGGCTGGTGTAAGGTCTGGAGGCCAAGAGGCCTTCAAGAACCGCCCTGAACAAGAGGGATGCTCATCGAA